ATATGAAACAAATAAAATACATACAAAGCAGAACACAGCTAAATGTATCAAACAATGACAATGAATTTTGATTTTTCTTTTTTTCCCAGTAAGAGGTTTTTATTTAATAGAATTTTTGGACAAAAAAATCGTCTTGCTTACAATATCGCAATATATCGGGATATATCGTATCGTGACCCCTCTGTCATGATACGTATCGTATCACCAAATTCTTGCCAATACACAGCCCTAGAAACAAGTAACCAAACAACAACAAGCTAACGTTAGTTACCATTAGCTTAGCACACCTTAAACATCTCATCTTAAACATGGTACTGCTGAATGGTCCGGTACTTTCCCTTTAGTTTGGTGTAGTCTGTTTTTGTTTTGTCACAAACAAAGATGGCACAGGTTTTGTTTTATGATCCTGCCCACAAGGGGGCGCTCTCTGCTCAATGCTAACACAACCAGGACCAGGGCCAAATGAGGCCAGGCTGAATGGAAGCGGGGCAGACCGAGCAGAGACCAGGGCTCACCTGTGACCTTGAAATCAATAAGGATGACCCTGGACCAGGAGGAGTCCAGCTGTGCAGTTTGAGGTTTTATTTCAAGGGTTAACAGTTATCAGGTGTACAGAAGGCCGGGTCATCCCATAATATGAGCCAGGACATTTTACAGAACATTCAACCTGCTTTACAACCTTCAGACTGATCCTGAGACCTGATAGGTCCCTGACAGGACCTGTCAGGACCTGATTCCAGAAGGATCTGTCCACCTGGACCTGCAGGTCCTCCACCTTACCTTGCAGCTGCTTGAATCGACCCTCCAGCAGGTTGTAGCTGACCTGCTGAGCCGGGTCAGCCTCCATCATACTGCGAGGTCCAAAACCGATCCAAAAACCACAGCACTGAAGCACTCCTGAACCCAGAACTTCTGGACCATAACAGAATCACGTCCAGTTCAGCAAAAATTCAGCAGCCTGTCGCACCAAAGTCCACCAAGGTTCTTTTAACAGAAATGTTGAACAAAGATAAAAACCTGAAGGGACCAAATAAAACTGGTTTTATTTTAAAAAGATCAAAGAACCAGAAACCAGACTTCACTCTAACATCTCAGATTAAAACTGAACTGTCCTCTGATGTCCTGCAGGACGGATCCACCAAAACATCTGAAAATCCACAAAACTCCTCTGATTTCCACAGAAGAAGAAAATTCAGGTCCTGCAAACCGAAAAACGTTCGTGTGTCACTGGAAGACCAGAGTCCAGAGGTCGTAGGGCAGCAAGAGTGTGTGTGTGTGTGTGTGTGTGTGTGTGTGTGTGTGTGTGGCCCAGC